GGCCCCCGCCCCGACCCCGGCCGGCCCCCCCCCGCGGTTTTGCCCCTCTCTCCTTTTTACCACCCCCCCCCCAAAGAGGAGGCAGCAAATCGTAAGTAGAAGTAAGGGCAGAGAGAGGGCAGTGGCTACAACAAAGGTTACTGGGCATGCTCAGTTCGAGTGAGCCTGCTCAGTACACCCAAGGTAGCGAAACGGGATTGGCTGATGGGTGCTGCGGGCGGGAGTTTGTCTGGAGCAGTTGGGAGAGCGCGGGAAGTGATCATTTCCCTGTCCCTGTCCCGCGCGGCTACGGCACCAGGTAAGATGCTGCCGGTGGGTCCCGGCGCGCGGCGGGGATCAGTCCCCCCCCCCCCGTTACTGCCCTTCCCCGGCTCGGCACTGGCCCGAGCCCCACGCGCTGGCGGGGAGGGGGGGGCACCGCACACGCGCTGGCCCAATCCCGCCTTTCCCGCCCCCGGAGCGAGCGCGGGGGCCCGGGGCGGAGCCGTCCCCGCTGCAGCCCCCCGCGGTCCCCCGCGCCCAGCCCCTGCCAGGGCAGAGCCGGTTCCCCCCCTCCCCGCCCCCGTTGTTGGGTGGCCGGGCAGTGACCCCCCCCCGTGCTTTGATGGGAAACAGGCACCCAGGGGCTGGCCTGGGCATCGCATCTCCCCCTCCGGTGCTTGCCGGGCAGGTGCCCCCTTTGCTCTCTGCTCGGCTCTGCTGTTCCGCCCCCCCCCCCCCAGCTGGGTGCCTGTCCGGGTGGGGGCTGTAGCAGATCCGGTCTCTGAAGCCCCGGGGGGTGGAGGGGCCGATGGGGGTTAAGGGGGTTTCATCATCATGGCACCGCCTCTGGCGGGGGGTTGGGCTGCTGGGCAGGGAACGAGAAACCACAAATCCCCCCCGCACTCCCCCACTGACCTGTCCTGCTCTGCTTGGTCCATCAGATCGGCTGGAGAGTCCAGAGCGGGGAGGAGCAGGGCCAGGACCCCCGCCCGGGCTTGGCTTTGCGGCTGCTGAATGGGACCCAGGCAGGCAGAGAGGAGCCGACCCCAGCCTGGCATCTGTAGCCTGAGTGTCGCTGAGAGACAATGGGGCCAGCAGCTGGGGCTGCTGAGAGCCAAGTGCCGCTGCAGGGGAGAGCTAATAGCGATGGACACCAGAAGACTGGCGCGGAGCCAGGTAATGGGGCGTCACTGCCTGGAACAGGCTGGAGTGAGACACTGAGGCTGCCCCACATGGGGCCATGTTCTCAGTGGCAGCAGCCAGTGCCTAGCAAATCCCATCCGTGGGCAGCAGGGACTGGATCTGCCCAAGGGGCTCTCAGGGCACCGATCCCTGGCTCACAGCTACTGTCTGGCGCACACAGCGGTGGCCGTCGGGCTGTGCAGGGGCCTTTTGGGCTGGGTGTGTCAGACCCCGTGACAGCACTGGCCCATCTCTGCCTGGTTTGTTCTCCCCCCTTCTGCTGTGTATGGCCAGTGTGAGACCCCAGTGTGCAGGGACAGGCGCACTCGGCAGTGTGGGCCCAGCCCACGCTCTGCAGGGGGCAGAGCGGGGGTAGGGATGGTGGGGGGGCAGCTTGAGCTCCTGCCACCAGAACATGCTGGTCCTTGTCTCTGTACCCCTGAGCTCACCGGGCCCCGTGACAGCCTGGCTGGGGGTGCCCAGGGAGGGCACTGGGCTGAGGGGAAGGAGGGACTGTTCTACCAGCCCCAGCCTGCCTGACCCTCCGGGCTCCTTTCCCAGAGTATCTGATGGAAGGAGCAATCGACAGAATGGTGCATGTGTAATGCTGACAGACCCCGGTCGTTGATGGGGGGGATTGAACCGGGGACCTCTGGTGCTTAGTGCATGAGCCTCTACCGCATGAGCTACAAGCCAACTGGCTGTTAGCTAAGGCTGTAGAGCAGACTCGTTTTCTCTCTCTCTGTAAGTGGTCTCAGTGCCACTAGATGGGACATCATCACGCCCAGAAGGTGTGCGGGTTACACATGTTCTAGGGCAGCTCCAGCCCTGGTGCTGTCAGTGAGACGTGTCCTCGCGGCCCGGCCTGACTGGTCTTTGTGTTTCAGAACCTCGTCGTAACTGCACAAGACGCACAGTCGCCCTCACAGTCATCCTCGCAATTGTGTCCTCAGCTTTTATCATCGCTACTGTCCTGGCAGGTGAGTTTTCCACTCTCCATCCCCCTTCTCTGCACATCCTGTTCCCCCTGGAGCCATCATAGTCACAGTCTCTCCTCCCGGCCTGTCTGGCTTCTGCCCCTGGGACAGAGGATTCCTGGGGGATGCTCCTCCACGACCCTCCTCCCGCTCTCTCCCAGACCCCTGCACCTAGGCACTCTGTGTCGGATGATCTGACTGACATTAGCTGCCCCCAGCCCAACTCTGAGCACTTGGGGTCTAAATCACTATTGTCGGGCCCCAGGCACAGTCGCTGGTCCCCCTGTGCAGAGTGGGGGTGACTGACAGGAGAAGGTGCAGGGCAGCGATGAGCTGGGCCCTCTGCCTGCAGCGTGTCGCCCTGAGGTACCAGCCTGGCCTTCCTGCATCCCCAGGTCATGCCCAGGGCTGGGCTGGCAGGTGCTGGCGTGTCACTGAAATGAGCTGTAGAATGTAGCACAGACACCGCCATTAACGCCGTGTGAAACCCACCAGTTAGTGACCTCAGCAGTGCAGGGACCCGTAGCACTATTGACTCCCCCACCTGCACAGACAGCGTGTGCTAGCGCAGAGAGAGGCTGTTCATGGTGAACGTGATCCTGGCTGTATCTGCCAATCGTCTGGGGAAGGAGGTTCTGTAAAACTGTGAGGGGTGGGATTTATCTATTCCCCTGGGATCTGATCACTGGGCCCCAGGAGGGTTTAACAGCTCGGAGAGGGGGTGAATCCAGGTCTGTCTGCATTAGGAATCCTCTGTGCTGATGTAACATTAGTGCAGTTGAATTGGTGCAAACTGCTAACATAGATGCACTGCATTAATGCAGAAAGGGGCTTGCCCCGGTGCCAGTCACTGCAGTAAGTTACCACAGCAGGACATGCTGCTCCAGCACATCTGTGTGAGGGGTTTGCACTGATGTAACTGCCTCCCCATCCTTACACCGGTGCCAGCTGCCCTGCTAAAGGCGGGCCGTGAGTCCCAGCTCCCTGCTGCGCTGGCCGGATGTTGGAATGGGCAGCATTGGCTCACCCAGCGTAAGGTGAGATCTATGAGCTTGGGGTTCCACACCTAAAGGTTCAGGGAGCCCCCAGGACGCAGTGGGGTCAGATGGTGGAGATGGCACCGGTCAGGGGCTCCCAGAACTGAAAGGCTCCTTGCTGTGCCCTGTCCCTCCTAGGCACTGCTGGAAGGGGCCCAGCAAGCCTGGAAGCCTTTCTCCTGGAAGCCTGTATATTCCTATATCCAGCTCTGTACAGGGTGTGAAACGTGAAATTGTGCCTGTGACGGGTTCCCCAGGGTGCAACCTGGAACTGGGGTGCTGCTGAGCCCTCTGTCCCTCCAACCTGGGCTTCCTCTCACACTGTGATGCTGTTGCTAAGCTACAACCTGTGTCAGGTACTGTACTTACACAGCCATCCACAGGCAGGGGACACACCCAGCTGAGTTACATGAATGCTTCTCCCAGTTCACTCATGAACTAATTGAGAGGCTCCAGCCAATTTCCCCATCCTAGGACCCCAGGACTGTACTGATTTGCCCTGGTCAGATGCCCGAGTAAAATCGCAATCTGAGTTCTATAAACTAGACAGGACTGGAATGAAGCAGTGTCTGACCCTGGTAGATGGTATAGTTCCTTAATACACAGGCTGGGATTCTTCTTTCCACCCTGGGATCACCTCCCCCGTTCAGTCTTTTACCTCCAGACATGTTTCCAGGTGTTGAGTTGTGGGAGGAGTGAGGCCAAAGGGTGATGTCACTTCCCCTCTTTTATAGTTTCTTCCAGCTTGCTGGAAAGATCCTTTGCTATGACCTGAGTCAAGCAGTCTCCATTGTCTACATGCTCTCTCTGAGAAGTCTCCATTGTATTTTGTTCCTGGGATACACCTTGGGAGTGTGGATTCCTTTAGTGGGCCATCAGCAGCATCTGGCTGCTCCATGGCTGTATCTGAAAGGCTGGTTGTGGGTGTTCCTAACCACAACATATTTCAGTAACACACACGTAGCATAACTTCCCATCCAATGACAGCACATACAATCCAACGGGATATTAATGTTCAACAGATCAAGACTTTTAAAACGAAGCCTCACAAGGCGCACTTTGTACAAAACATAGAATTATATGACAGTGGTGAATAGGGAGGTTCCAGGGTGCTGCTTTGAAGCACAGCATGCCCCAGTGCCCCCCACAGCTGAGTTGCTCCCTGAAATGAGTGACACAAACTACACACTGAGCAGCACCAGAAAGCATCGTGTGGACTGACTGCCCTGCCCCATTCGTGTGTGTGAGCACTAGTGTGTACAGCACCCTGCACTGTGACATCTCCAGGGAAATACATGCCTGACACATGACCTGCTCTTTCTTTGATCACCACTGCCCCGGCTGCTAATATTCTCCCAGACATAAGTGTGTCCCAGTCCCAGCCACAAGGAAAGGCTTAAAACCAGCTACAGAGTTATTGTGGTACAAAATGAACAAAAAACGTGACATGCACAAAAATGGCTAGAGGTGTTTGGGTCAAACTCCTCCCCACCCCAAAAGGGAAACCACATGAGATCTCCCTGAGGCTGAGAGCGAGCAGGAGTGATTCTGGGGGAAGGGGGATCACCCATTGACATGGTGTTTGGACTGGGTTAGCAACTCTTCCCATAGTGACCCTAATAACCCTGTCTCTGGTTATTCACCTAATGCACTGACCTTGCCAATAGCTGCTTGGTGTTAGTTATGGGTGACCCCACTGCTGCTCTCTCATGGCACTGAAAGGGTGTCACTACAGTGAGGGCTTCCAGCGAGTTTCCTTCTAGCTGCTGTATTTGGGGGAAGAAAGGTCTGTACCAGGGGTAGGCAACCTTTCAGAAGTGGTGTGCCGAGCCTTCATTTATTCACTTTAATTTAAGGTTTCGCGTGTCAGTAATACATTTTAACGTTTTTTTAGAAGGGGTCTCTAATTCTATATTATATAACTAAACTATTGTTGTATGTAAAGTAAACAAGGTTTTCAAAATGTTTAAGAAGCTTCATTTAAAATTAAATTAAAATGCTGATCTTACGCCGCCAGCCTTAGGGGGGTTCAGGGCAGAGGGCTGGGTGTTGGGGTGGGGGGCGGCTCGAGGTCAGGGCACAAGGCTGGGTGTGGGGGGTTCAGGGCAGAGGGCTGGGGGGAGTGTGGGGGTGCAGGGCAGAAGGCTGGGGTGCTCGGCTCGTGGGGGTGCTCCCAGCCCCCTGCCCTGAGCGGCTCATGGCAGGGGGCTGGGAGGGATTACCCTGTTCCACCCCCTTCCCCCAGGCCCGTCCCTACTTTCTCTGCCTCCTCTACGGAGCAGCGAGCACGCTGCCGCTCGGCTCTGCTCCTCTGGGAGGAGGAGGGGCCGGAATTCACCACGCTGTGGGAAGAAACGGGAGGAGGGAAGTTTGGCTGCCGCAGGATCAAGCTTCCCCCCTCCCCCGCTTCTTCTCCCGGCGTGGTGCATTCTGGCCCCTCCTCCGCCTCCTCTCAGTGGGCAGCAGCGTGCCCTCAAAATCGGCTCGTGTGCCGTGTTTGGCACGCGTGCCGTAGGTTGCCGACCCCTGGTCTGTACCTAAGAGGTGAATCAAGTTACAGCATTCCTGGCCGCTCAGGGGACGTCCACACTGTAATTAGACGCTTGCGGCTGGTCTGAGGCAGCTGATGCAGGCTCATGGGGCTTCTTGGGCTAAGGGACTAAGTGCAGTGTAGCTGTTCAGGCTCAGGCTGCAAACGGATCATGGCAAACGTCTCCATCGCCCTGCGTCTGGCTGTGCTGGCCGGGCGCAGGGAGCGGGTGTTCAGTCTGGTGAAGGGAAGGGAGTTTGTTCCCATCTTCATCTCAACCTGCCTCTCCTGGGAAGCAAAGAACAGGGGGAGGGACCCAGGATAGCAAAATTCCTTCTGGTAACAGGCCTAGCAAATCAAATCGTGTTGAGATTGACCTCTTATCCATTAATTGTTCTCCCCCTGCTGTCTCCCAATAACTGTCCCCTCCCTCTGCAGCTCCCTACCCACCCCCTGCTCTAACACTGATCTCGGACCCAGTTCTCTGTGCTGGGATTCGAAGCATGAGCTATTAGTCAGCTGCATCCCTATTGAATGTGAACCCGAGAGAGTGAGACCAGGGTCAGGTAACCCCCCTCTGGCGCTGGATTCCCAGTGTCGTCCTGGCTCCCTCCCAGCACCTGCTGGGGGGGTTGAGGTGTCTCAGAAGCCTGGGACGTAGGGGCGCATCTCCCCGTGTTTTTTGTGGCCAGGCGGCAGGTCCCACTCATACCACGTGTTACCTTCTCATTCCCAGTGCAGAGATATAAGCTTCCTTCAGCTGATCTGAGCCCCCCTGCTGTGATCTGCTGCCCGGATGACTGGGTTGGTTACCGAGGGAAATGCTACTATTTCTCAGAGACTGAAGGGAACTGGAACTACAGCCTGACGAACTGCTCTGCACTCAGCGCCTCCCTGGCCGGGATCGACAGTGAGCAGGACATGGTGAGACTCTAATTGCGATACACTGGCCTTGGCTCAGTGGTGGCTGCTGCAGTAGGACCTGGGCTCTGTGACTCCTCTCGTGCTGGGAGGCCAGAGCGAATGAACTTCCATCAGCTGAATGCCAGGCCTGGCTGGGCCTAGGGCTCCTCTAGTGTCAGCGTGTGACCCTGGGGAAAGCCCACTCTCAGCCATTCTCTTCCTCCCCTCCCCCTCCAATAGGAGACAGCCCCTCTCTAAGGCTGAGCTGGCTCGGGCATCTCCTGGCCTATTGAGCTGCATGGAGGGGGACTGAAGACCCAGCACAACGCAGCCAGTGCTGCTCCTGTACAGAGGAAAGGGCAACCAGTTGGGGAGAGGGGACGCCTGGGCCCAGGCCCCTCCTGGCTGAGAATAGGGGGGAGGGCGTCTTCTCTTAGTCCTGGCCCCTTCCCTATGCAGATTGTCTCTCTCTCCTTCCCCTGCCATGGTGAGGGGAGCTCAGCTGCTCTGTAAGGAGATGGGGTTTTCACACACAACCTGGCCTGGCATGGAGTGCGGGGGGCAGCTTAGACCCAGCAGCACCCAAGAGCTGCCCCAGCCCAGCCCAGATTGGGGTGGGGGGGAGCTGGGTTTGGGGTGAGAGGGTTAATACTGAATTACCCAGAGCTGGGCAAGAGGGAGGAGAAAATCCCCAGCCACCCCCTGGAAACACTCAGAGCCCTTCCGTGTACACCTGGGATTCCCTGCCCAGAGCCTGGGGGAGCAGCAGGGTCGGGCTCTGACACCACCTCTCCCTCTGCTGTTTTTAGGCTTTCTTGCTGCGCTATAAAGGCAAACCCGACCACTGGATCGGCCTCTGGAGGGACCTGGGGCAGCCCTGGAAATGGGCCAATGGCACCGAATTCAACAATACGTGAGTCTTTCTCCTGCCTCCGTGCATTCCCTGGGCTTTGGGTCCTAGGTTTCTGAGATACCAAGTTCAGGTCGATCCACCAGTCAGTGTTGTCTCCCCCTATCTGTGACTGACGGGAAACGCCCAACTACTGCCTGACACCAGCTCCCTGGCTTCTGTCTTTCAGGTTTGTGATAAGAGGAGGAGGAGACTGTGCGTATCTGAATGATGAGAAAGGGGTCAGCAGCTCACGGTGCACCAATGAGAGACACTGGATCTGCACCAAACCCGATGTGTTTACACAGGCAAAGGAGGATGAGGTGGAAGGGGGCTGATAACAAGAGTGTTGTGGAAATTAGCCCTGGAAAAGCCTGACTGTGATCTCTGTGACCATCACATCGGACCAATTCCGGAATATCAGGGAATGCTCTGAGCATCACTGGGCAGAGCACTGTTGATTTTGGTGAAACACAGAAACACTATCTGCACCTCCTTGTTCCCTCACCAATGTTCCCTCTAATTTTTTACACCCATGTGTGGAATGAATTTTGTTATGTGCACCACTATGGAGGTGATGTATGGCAGGGGTGAGGTGGAGGGGTTCGGAGTGTGGGAGGGGGCTAAAGGCTGGGGCAGAGGGTTGGGGTGAGGATGCTGGGGTGGGGCTGGGATGAGGGGTTTGGGGTGCAGGCTGCCATGGGGCTATGGCATAGAGGACTACCCCAACCTTCTCTCGCCACAGCCCTGCACATCCCCTACCTCTCTCTTCTCCAGGGCCAGGCCCCTGTGGCGGTGTGCCTGAGCAGCCCTTGATAGCCTGCTGCGTGGCCGTGCAGCTTAGAGGGAACTTAGCTCCCCACCCCTGCCACCTCTTTTGCCTGTCAGTGAAACTGCTCTAGTCCAGCCTTTTCAACCCTACCTCAGCTGGGCCAGGGACTCTGCCTACCCGAGGAAAAGAGCCAAGACACCAGCCTCAACTTTCACCAGCTTCAATGTTCCCCCACTAGAGCTTTTCACTGGAGATAATTCTCTATGGAATCTTTTAAATTATGGACTAGAGCTGAGTGGGGAACATTCCCCCTCTCCGACAAAAATTCTTGTTAAGATGTTTCTTGTGGGTCAGTTTTGTGATGTGTTGAAAATCGGATTGATTTTAAAGTGAGCATGCTACACCACCACTTTTGTGTTAGGCGCCTCTGTGACTGTAACTCACCAGCGAGGAGAGAGGTATTAAGGAGTGTGAAGTGCTGAACTCCAGCAGCCCAGAGCTCAAGGAAGGAGGTGGGATACAACCCCCTAACCAGAAGGAAGTGTATCTGTCTGTGCTGCTTGGCCTCTGGGTTTCTAGGCATGAGTGAGAGATCCCCAGCTGCTTAGCCTGGTGTAACGATGCTGGTTCTGGTGGGACCCAACTGAGGGTGCCAATTCAGGACAAATTGCTTCAAACATGGCAGTTACTGCCCAAGGCTGGGTTTTTTCCACCTCTAAGGCAAGGCAAACCAAACCAGCCAAACAGAGGAGACTTTGGTTTTACCCCACTGACTAACCTTAAGTCACATTAGCAATTCCCTTAGACGCTCCAGTTTCCCACGATCACCACCAGTGCCACTCATTATGGGGACAAATGGTTATGAAAACCAATACCCCAGTAAAAGAAAAAAAGGTTCTCCTGATCCCATAGGACCAAGCACCAGACCCAGGTCAATATACAAATTAATCTTACCCACAATCACGCTGTTGCCAATCCTTTAGAATCTAAAATCTAAAGGTTTATTCATAAGAGGAAAAAGATATAGATGAGACTAGAATTAGTTAAATTGAATCAATTACATACAGTAATGGCAAAGTCCTTAGTTCAGGCTTGTAGCAGTGATAGAATAAACTGCAGGTTCAAATCAAGTCTCTGGAACATCCCCAGCTGGGATGGGTCATCAGCCCTCTGTGTAGAGCAGGCCTGCACAACATGCGGCCGGGGGGCCGTATTTGGCCCGCGTGGGCTCACTGTGTGGCCCGCAGGGGGTAAGTAGGCAAGCAGCGGGTGAGGGAGGGGGCTGAGGAGGCGGGCAGTGGCAGGGGGGGCAGGTGAGCCGGCAGTGGGGGGGGCTGAGGAGGCAAGCAGGTGGGCAGTGGCGGGGGCCGTGGAGGCGAGCAGGCGGGCATTGGCGGGGGTGAGTAGGTGAGCCGGTGGGGGAAGGGGAGAGGCTGAGGAAGCGGGCAGGCAGTGGCAGGGGGGCAGGTGAGCCAGCGGCAGGGGTGGGGGCTGGAGGAGGCGAGTGGTGAGTTGGTGGCTGACCTGTTCTACTGATCTGGTCTGGCTCCC